TGTGTTTCTTGTAATTTGGACTGAACATTATGTCATATTCACTGTAACTGTATCATTTCAAGTATCGTAAGAACTGAGTTTAGGTCATTTTCGTTTAGCTCTTTATTAAGCTTTAAGCTGTCCGTCATTGCCATTTGAATTTCACGGAAGAACCCAAATGCCTCTACCAAAAATCAAATTGGTTCATCACTATAGTACATTTCTATGCATGTTTTTACCTCATAAATTATTGGTTACTTTTTCTGACTAAAAAGTAATGAAAACTCATTGATGTTAGGATAAACAGTGTATTGAAAAATAGGGATTACATTTATGAAGCATTGTATAGGAGAAGAATGTGAATTCGAAAGAAACATAGTACAATTAGTTACGCATTCATTATTTCAATGATCCGATGGAAAATGTGGTATTTTAAAGAATGGATATCTATTATCGTTAGGAAATTATCCGATGGTTTTGTTTACAATCTGAAAATAACTTAAAATTATATGAAAACTAATCCGATTTTACTGAGAAGCCGTGAAAAAGCCACACATACTCATTATTGAGAATAGTGTTTCTCAGGAATCAAAGTCAGCTGAAAACGAAAGAAGAACTAGACATAGTTTTTCCTAGTTTAAAACTCTATCCCAGTAGTCACACATGACTGCATACAACATCTTATACCTCCAGCTCTCGTGGTGAATACGATGCCCTTAGACATGTGAATTGAAGGCTAGTGATTCATATTTCCATAGATGAATAAGTAGCTTTTATTTATTGCGAAGAAAACTTCCAGACGATATTACCTGACAAGTGCTCGACTCTACTTTTCCTAATCTATATATGGTTGAAATCCACTGCTTGCAGCTTCTGCTCATGACTTTCAGAATCCATTTCAAAGTTAGCTACTCAAGAACATATGAATATTGTTTGACTCGGTGGTTTGTGGAAGTTAGTCCAGTTTGCAGTTAGATTTATTGCGAATTGATATCAGCTACAAATTGTTCAGAATCAGAGACAAGGATTCAGCTATGTATATATAGTTTAGAACTCTACATCAAAGGCAATATAAAACCTTATACAACAACGAAACCTCTCTTTAAGCCTGTAAAAATCTTTTCAAAAAAGCAGCTAATGTAATCATAATCATCATGTGTTCATTAACGATGAGGATAAATATAAATGCTAAATAATTTAATGAACTATAATGTTTAAACATGTTGGGAATGAGACAGATCATGAATAGCATCATATAATTCTCTCTATATAGTGAGAGTCGGTAGGAATTTAAAATGTGTTTAATTCCAGTTTAGTGGTCTAAAAGCACTATGTTAGCTGAGAAATTTGAAGCAGAAAGGTTCGGTACCAAGTGTAGTCATGGATTCACTTGCCTGAAGTGTTAAACTATTAATGAGCATCTAACCAATGAACCCTAGCTTTTGTTAGCAATACTGAATAGGAGTATCCTGACAGCTATCTCCAACCACCTAACATCCAAAATATAGCGAACACTATGGCAAATCACTTTAACTAGTGGTAAAATTGCAGCTTGATCGATCGAATTCGATTATCACTAAAAGAATAGACAAACATGACACTGGTTAGCATTCGGTGATCAGAAAGTTGGAACCTTAGTTTCAATTGTTTCTTCAGCTAATGATAATCTGTGGTGAGACTAGCTTAGAATTAGATAATTTCCACAGATTGTTTATTTTAAAAAGTGTAAATAATAAAACAACCTAGAGGAACTTGAAGAATCAGTACATAAATCTAGAGAAAAATAATATAAATATTCCATAACTTACGAAAGAGTAACTTCGAAGTAACTCCGCCTGTAGATCTTCTTGAGTTACTGCTGATCGCAAGCCCAGGTAAAGGAGGAGGGTTGGGCCTGAGTTCGACAACTCCATCCCGTAGAAAAAAACCTTGCTAAATAAATGCCAACCAAATTAAATAAATTAAACCATTTAAACTCTGTTATTCGAGTTGAAGGAAGAACTATGATGCCTCAGGATGTAAAACGAGATTCTTCAGAAGTCACGAGGTCGACGCCCCTTCTAACAACCTGAACAACAACTTTTATAGGTACATGGAATGTTCTGACAATGTAGTAGACCCGGAGGACCAGTCAAATAGGAACGGAAATGAGGAGATACAACTTGGCAGTACTGGAAATCAGCAAATACAAACGCATACACAAAGCTACATGGATCTCATCGGATCACACCACGGAGAACCACAGATCATATCTGTATCAATAGAAAAGTCCAAAGGACAATGGAAGAAGTAAGAGCCAGAAGAGTAGCTGGCATAGCTTCAGATCACCACCTGGTTGTGGCCAAAATGAAACTGAAGCTAAAGAAACACCGGACAACTGGGGGAACAGCATCACATAGATTCAATACAGCCTTCCTTTGAGATACTAACAAATTCAACGAATTCAAGATGGCTCTCATCAACAGCTTCCAAGCCTTACAAGATCTACTGAAGGAAGAAGAAGCTACTATGGAGGACATCTGGAAAGAGATCATAGAAGTATTCATTTCAACGTGTTAGGAAATGCTGGGTCGCAAGAAGGTTCATCATAAGGAATGACTCTCCATAGAAACCTTGGACAAGATCCAAGAAAGGAACAACAAAAAAACAGCAACTGACAACAGCCGAACAAGAGCCGAGAAAGTCATGACACAAGCTGAATACACTGAAGCAAACAAGAAAGTAACGAAAAGTATTAGAGCCGATGAGCAGAAATACGTAGAAGAGACAGTAACAAAAGCGGAAAACGTTTCAAGAAAAGAAAATATAAGATAGCTATATGATACTACGAAGAAACTGACGGGAATATATAGTAAACCAGAGAGCCGGTCAAAGACAAGGAAGGCAAGTTCATCACCGAGATTCAAGAACAGAGAAATAGATGGGTAGAATACTTCGAGGAACTGTTGAATAGACCAGCCCCATCAAACCAAACGGAACTCGAAGCAGCACGCACAGACCTTCCCATAGATGTCACTTCACAAACGACGGAAGAAATCAGGATGGTCATCAGACAAATCAAGAGCGGGAAAGCAGCAGAACCCAACAACATGCCAGCTGAAGCACTTAAGTCAGACATGAAAGTAACTACAAGTATGCTACACTTTCCTTTCAGGAAGATTTGAGGGGAGAAACAAGTGCCACCGACAGACTGGAAAGAGGTATACTTCATCAAGTTATCAAAGTAAGGAGATCTGAATAAATGTGAGAACTACAGAGGAATCACATTATTGTCAGTACCAGGAAACGTTTTCAACAGAGTGTTGCTGAACCGGTGAAAGACTCGGTAGACGCCTAACTTTGAGATCAACAGGCTGGATTCCGTAAGAAGCAGACATGCACAGGCCAAATCGCGACACTACAGATTATTGTTGAGCAATCAATCGAATGAAATTCGTCACTATAAATCAACTTCCTTGATTATGAGAAGGAGTTTCACAGTGTGGATAGAGGGACATTATGGAAACTTCTTCGACACTGGACTACAGACAAGGCTGTCTACTCTCCCTCTTTCTCACTCGTCCGGTGGTCGAATGGATTATGAAGACCTCGACATCTGAGTGGGAGCGCGGAATACAATGGACAGCTCGGAATCGATTAGAAGATTTAGACTTCGCAGACGATTTATCCCTTCTATCTCATACACACGAACAAATGCAGATGAAGACAACTAATGTAGCAGTAGTCTGTGTCAGTAGACCTCAGTACACACAAAGAAAAAGCAAGATCCTCAAATACAACGCGGAGAATACTAATCCAATCACATTTGATCGAGAATCCCTGGAAAATGTACAATCTCCCAAGTACCTGAGAAGCATCATGGATAAACAAGGAGGATCTGATGCAGACATAAAGGCGAGGATTGGAAAAGCAAGGACAACATTCCTACAGTTGATGAACATATACAACTCAAAACAACTATTAACCAATGTCAAAGTCACAATCTTCAATACCGACGTGGAGACAGTTAGTTCTACTGTACGGAGTTGAAATTGGGAGAACCATCACAATCACCATAGAAAAGGTACAAGTATCTATAAACAGTTGTCTACACACGATACTCAATATTCGTTGGCCGGATACCATCAGCAACAGCCTACTATTGGAAGGGGCGAACCAGCTTCCAGTTGAAGAGGAAATTAGAAGAGACGTTGGGAGTGGATAGGTCATACTTCGAGAAAATCATCAAAGTGCATCACGAGGCAAGCCCTAACTTGCAATCCTGAAAGAAAACGAAAAAGAGGAAGACCGAAGACATAGTACGTCGGGATATAGCAGCAGGCATGAAAAGAATGAATAGCAACTGAAAAAGATTTCGCAGGACATGATTGGATGGAGAGTGCTGATGAGTGGCCTATGCTCCTCGACGAGGGATAACAGGCTTAAGTAAAAGTAAGTAACTTCAAAGTGCTTGATTTTCACATTTTATTCACTAAATAATCAAAGTTTTCACAGGGAAGTGGTCATGAAACTGATCTCATGTTTTGATAAAGACATTTTGAAATACTTGCTAACCTATTCTCACTCAAGCTATAACATTACATTTCAATGAGATGTGGTGTACAATGAGTGTTCGCATTTTGCATTTTTGCCGAATGCTTCGTCTATTCAAAAATGTTTAGTCAATATATATTTCTTTCTAGGCTATAGGTGTAAGGATCTGCACTGTCGCTAAAAAAAAACTTGTTACATCATAAAACTGAAATGTATAACACTACTACCTCAATAGACGGCTTCATGATATTCAGGAGCACTTGTTGAACTCGTCTCCATAATTCTTTTCTAACCAATAAAATACGTTAATTCGAATCCTTGTAAATGAGATTAATGGTGGATTGATTTCACACAAGTGATATTCTCAAATCGATTTTCTCCCACCATATTTTAGTTTGTTAAATGAGCGTTTTATAGACATACAACGCACAGCTTCAAATAATTGAAGGGGCCCTTTATAAAGGAACCAATGAAATAAACTTTAATCTGAATAATAATAATTTGAATATGAAATAGATGAAATGACAACTGCCCTCTGCCCACGCGAAATTGAAATTAGATTAATCTGACAAAAGTCTTTGCCCATTTTATTTGATTCTGATCTTGGAACCACTCGTTTTGAGGCCATAGATTTTGTCTTTTATTTGCAAGAAAAAAAATGGTAGGTTATGAGCTTCCTGTCGTTTATGTAATATCATGGGCTTGGATATTTTGAATGAATTGATAGCTTGACTACCATTATCAATACGAAAATCTGTCACCCAGTCCATGGGTGGTTTTTTAAGTGTTAATTGGACTCAAGATCTAGTTTTTCCTGTAAAAATTTATTTTTTGTTAAGTAGTGAGGATTTGGTTTAAAGCTTAAAGTAAAAAATGACTAATTGGTTTAAGTGCGAAATTTGTGTTTTGGACATTTGGTTTTATAACATTGAATTGATTGTTTATCCAGTTTAGCTGACTTAAAAGAATTATTACAATATCAGACTTAAAAACCTTATTTATGTATTTCTTCGTAAGGGTTGTTTGGATCGTCTCGTTGATGTTGAAGACTGCAATTAATCGGTCTCTTTTTAGCATATATGCATCCTGTGCAGATTGATTTGATATAGCATTAGGTGACAAGTATCTGTAGCTAGAGTTGAAAAATGGGTAACGGTGAAAACTAGAACATGTGTTTCGTTCTATTTTGAACTCATCGGCTGAATCTATTCTTGCCTTAGTGTCTGTCTTTACGCTGAGGCTCAAATCCGGTACTTTTCCTTTCAAATGCACAAAGCATTATCTACGTGGATACTGGGTTCGGATAACCACTGACTTGTTTAACGAGGTGGATTTTAATCTCTTTGTGCACATTTATTTAGTTTTGACTGAATACCATAAAGTTTTCAAATTAATATAAACTGGCATTTGTAAGGTATTCAACTCTGTGCCTCCATTTACCATTGACTTAGTCTGGAATCAATATTCAAACGGGTGATCATACTAACAGACTCATCTCCGAGAGCGCTTTAATTCCTTTCTGTCATCCATTAACTCCTGGATCTTCCAGCCTACCCAAGTTTGGTACCCTTATTCCAAACCGCATATTTGTTGGCGGAATACCATCAAATGTAGGTTTGAATCATACTTTTCATTTAGCTTTTAGACAAACGAACAAGAACTTAAGTCTTTCTTTTCAAGTTTTGGCCAGGTAAAAGATGTCAAAATTATCAATGATCGCCTTGGGGCATCTAAAGGGTATGTTTTATTACTGACAATCATGTGTGTTCAATAGGAGCTATGGATTTGTTACTTTCGAAAGTCAGGAAATGGCTGAAAAAATTATCAAGAACGAGGTTAGTATAATATTTTGCTAGCATTCTTATTATAGTCGGAAACACTGGTTTTCAAAGACCGTAAACTCAACATAGGTCATGCAATTCGTAAGCAACAAATATTTCCTCGTCCAGGTATGTACACTGTTCTTAATTTATTTGACTATTTTGTTACCACGTTTGCACATTTGTAACATTTTGTTCCTTTTTTCTAATATAGACCTAACAACAACTTTGCTATTCACCGGAAGTGCAGTTCCTTATGGCTTTCAAAATGGTGTGGCTGTATTCTCTTTACCTGGCCAAGAGTATCCTATATTGACTCAAGTGAGTGAATACACTGAAAATTGTTGAATGCTTAATTAATTATGTACAGTTTGTATGAGCATGCTCAGTCATTAGGCAGTATACTTTAATCTAACGTACTGTAAACCTTTTGAAATAAACGTTTTTGTTGAACGTCAAAACACGTGTAGTAGTACTGATATTTAAGTTTCGAATTACTAAAATACAGTTACTACTCCGAACAGTGTAAACATCATAGACAATTCTGAAACTCCATAACAACGAATTATTTATAAGGTGCAATTTCTATTTTAATTAAGGACTCATAAAACATCTTACTAACACTATAGATAATATTTATTTCAACAATTACAAGACTAATTAGTTTGATTGCTAGAAATTGACTGATAGCTATACTGTAATTCTTTTCTAATAAGCAGTTTGAAGTAGATAGGATAAGATACTAGTAACTTTTGTTATATTGTATATTCATGAGAATCCTTTTCCTAGTTGTTTAGTTTTTTTTAATAAAATGTCTTTTGTAATAATAGTAATAGGAATTAATTTCAATCATTTTTAGACCACAGCTCCTTATGCCACAATGATACTTCCACAGCCGGATGGAGGAACACCTCTCTACTTGCCTCCCTTACATTCAACTCCAGCTGCCGCCATATCGCCATATACACATATTCCACAGCAAGCCGTAACGGCAGCACTTCATCAGCAGTTTCATCAAACAGGAGCTGTTTCTTGTTTAACTCCTGCGGTTGTTGGTCAGATAACACCAGTCAATGTCAGTGTTAATAACACTAATCCGCAATCTCATTCAACTCCCTCAGTAATGGCGGCAGCTGCTGCTATGGCTGCTGCTGTTCAGTGGCCACAAAATCCAACTCAGAATAACCAACAAAATCAACAACAATCATCTACTGTAACAGTAACTCATAGTGTTTCACATGTAAACAATGAGCATTCCAGTAATCAGACACCAACAATCACACAGAATCAATCTGCTGTTGCTGTTCAACATCCAACTAATTGGCATTGGTCAACAGGTGTACAACAATCTCAAAATACCATTCAGGAAACAAGTCCTCAATCTAACATGTTCACTATTGATACATCTTCAAGTATAGGTGCTACTAAATCAACATCAATATCAAATCCAAATCTTCAATTTCCTCAACAGGTGAGTAATTCGACTTTATCATTATACCCATCATCATTTGGCGATTTATCATCAACGTTACAATTATTACAAAGTTCAACTTTAACAGCATCCACTGCAGCATTACTTGCTGCTACTGTTATGCAGCAACCAAATACAAATATATTTGATAATGAGATTAATATGAATCTTGATATGACTACAGTAGCAACATTAGCTGCCTTAGCTACAGCATCAATTAATTCACCATCATTAATTAATACAAATATGAATTCAATCAAAGAGATGAAGACAAAAGAAAAGGAGGATATTACCACAAGTGAATTTCCAAAATCTGTTCATTTAAATGATGATATGGTAGGGTTACCTTTTACTCAACCAATAAAAAAACCACGATATGATGTAGAAACTGTGCAGAAAATTAAAAAAGATGAATAATCTGTAATCATTTAATATAGTCCCGAAAATAAACTGTTATTAATTTTTTTTGAAAGTGTATCCTGTGTAACAATTATTCAAAATTGCTTATTAACAAAATACATTTCATTCTACGATATATGATAAGTAGTTGCTTCTTTGTTTTGTATTTTTACTTCAATCTGTTCAATGAGAAAACAAGCTTCTGTTAAATTGTTTACATGACATTTTTGAAGACTTTTACAGTTTAGACGTGTATATAAGGATATGTAATATATTTATAGTATAATTAAACTTTGTCTCTTCTTAATTGTTAATTAATATCTTTATCATTTTATTTTGTATGTTTGATTTATGAAAACAACCAAAAAATATCTAATTGTAACAGTGTGCAACAAATGCAACTTATTTGTATAGCCCATTCACTGGGTCTAGTCATGAAGTGATGTTATTTCATCAAACCAGTTCGCCATTCACTGGCAATTCAACTAGTGATTACAGTACTGATCATAGTACGCATTCATCCGGTATATTGGAGTCAGCTGAGGTAGGCTGTTAGTTTTCAGCGTTTGATTAATATAATCGTAATGATAATAATAATAATAACTTGGAGTTGAATTACATCTGTGAAAAAAGTTAATATTTATGTGACGTTTTACTAACAAAAAATTCAATTGTTTTATTCATTTGTTACCGCTTCAAATGTTGTTAATAGTTGGTAAAAGAAGAAAACATTGTCAATAGTTGTTGTAATCTGTGTACTGAAGTTTTTGTTCACTAATTTTTGTTAAAAGACTTTTCATGTATTGAAATTGTACAAAGAAAATACAAACTATAACTTTAATTATATGTTTAAAATTAGTTATTTTGTGTCTATACTACTGTATCTACTAATTTATAAATAAGCAGTTTCGTGTGTGTTTTATAATTGTCAAGAGATTTCGTTTCTAATATTATGTTCCAATGTTTATGGTTGTTTGAATATTTTGCTTCTAATGAATATAGTGTTTTTACTTATAAAAAACAATCCAGCTATCCGATTTTATTATTACAAACTAGGAGTATTTATTACGTTACCATAATATTTCCTTTTAAAATATCTTATGTTTATTTTAGTCTATAAATTATGATGGTACACCAATCAGTCGTCAAACTCAACAAGTTGGAAAACAATTAACTAATATTTACAACAATAATAATACTAATAATACACAAATGAATGGTTCATGTTTATCACCATATGCTACGTTAACACCAATTTTAGAATTTCATTCACATTCTAATTGTATAGGACAATCGAATTCTATGCATCAAATGTCACCAACACATTTACAACATAATTTACATCAAAAACATCAAACAAATACATTCGTGTCAATACTTAATCCATCACATCATAATACAGTATTTACTGGCAGTAATTGTACGCGTCAATTATCAACTGCTATCTACGGAAGTCAATCAGTAAGTTTTGTAATTTATTTATCAGTTTGCAAAATATATATGTCAGTATGTTAAATCTGCATTATGAATTTACTTATATCAGTGTACAACGTATTCTCAACCACCACCTACATCGACGTGAGATGTTAACTAGTGTAGGTTAAAGCTAGGGGCTGCAAAACCCGAGAAGCGATACCAGTATACGAAGCCATTGACAATTGGACTGATATATGTGGAAAAGTGTAGACTACCTGACCGGGGTCTGCGTGATTATTGTAACGAATTGTTAGAGACTTCAGGTGATATGGCTCAGAATCGTTCTCAGTGACTAAAACGGATCCACTCCTTGTCTTCCTCCAGAATTTGAGTCCCAAAGTCACCTTCTTCCTTTTTCTTCTTTTTCCATACCTAACCTTTTTACTTCTACTGATACTATTACTACTCCTATGATTTAAGGAGTCGTCTTAAAATAAATCCGACTCGCTGTGGTAACATGGTATGACAACTTTAACCGTTGCATTGATGTGTTAGGTTCTACGCCGCGTATGATGATGATGACGGTAAAATGATGAATACTTTAAAAATAACTTGGATATTTTCATTCGTATAACATTACAAGGAAGATACTTTATTGCTTAACTAATAATGAGAGGAACTACATTACTCAGGATTTTGCTCTATATTGCTTCACAGCCATGAATGGCGAATAAAAATAGAAGGTATCTGTAGATTGCTGGTATCTGATTATAAATCTCTTCAGTGCACTGCTTGGATATGGTAAGACTAACAAAAACATGGTGCTAAGATTTGTCAAAATTTTAAGAAGGAGTTGTAGAAGGTATTCTACATGGAGAATGTCTCAATGAATTAGAGCGTGTAGAGTAATGTAGTCTTGATCAAAAAGAATGATGGAAGTAGCTAAGTAACACCTCAAGGATATTTTGGATGTATTCCTCTTGCTAAAATGCAGAATACTGCTTTTTTTAGTGCTTATTCTAATCATAAGGAATGAAGTAGATGAGGTCCTTGACCTCTTCTGTTATCTTGAAAGTCTCATCAGCCCTAGAAGTTCGGTGTCGGCGGCCGTCTCCCTGTCTAATGGCAATTATACTTAGCAGCAGTTTGCTATGTATTACTTAATTTTATAAATTGTAACTTCTGAAGCTAATAATAAATACATTTTTTGTTATATCTTATTGAGTATAAAAATAGTATTTCTTCAGAGTAAATTATATTACCCCATGACCTATTCACCTCAGTCAATAAAGATATAATCAGATCATTTTAACAAAAAGATTAGTTAATGTGGCAATTATTCAGATTCACGTAATAAACAATAAGTTCTTTTGTCTTACGATAAAATCTTAACACTTGATTGATTTTGTATCAAAGTAAAATGTTCATTACATTCTATCGAAACTATAAATAGATACTAATTAATAAGTAGTATAGTAGAACCTATTCTTTCCACATTTCCACAATACTGTAACTGATTTCGCTGAAGTATATGATAAGACAATTGTTACTTGTCAGCTGAATGTACCTGTATCCCAGAGTTGATATTTTTCTGCCCTATCATGAGACTTATCAAATGTTACACTCTACAGATTTATGCAATAATATTCTAGGTGGTTTTGTGTGTCAATAAATTATGTGATAAGTTTTCAAAATCCCCATAGATTAAACTAATGTTTTCCTTAACTTACGTCATAAAAAATTCTGACTGTTGGACTAACTTATGTAGAGATTTGTAGATGTCTATAGAATTGTTTAGATAATCACAGAGCAGTAAGCTAGTGTTAATACAGTAGGTTAGATGAATTCAAATGCTGTTACGTCACATGCCCCATCACCTGTTTTATCATTTATTCCACTTAGTATATTGTTATAGGTTTGAATTATCACACTGTTGATAGTAAAGACTAAATTCCAATGAATGTATCTTCGTAAATATGAGTCTTATGTGGATTACTTCATTATCACCATTTTGTCACAGGTTATTTACAATAAGTGGGTCTTGGTAAGCAGTGTTATTCAAGACACTTGTTTCGTCCTATCTTGGACTCATCAGTTGGGTATACTTGTATCCCAGTATTGATATCCACATTTGGACTCCAAATTTTCATCCTGAAATTAAACGGTATAGTTCTAATACTTGCTAATAATTATTTAAGCATCTTAACTGTTGAACGAGTTGATCATTATCCGAACCAGGTAGTTCAGAGAATAACATGTTGAGTGTTTCTAGGCCTGTTTTATCCGATTCCATCATAAACAAATGGAAAATGATCCATGTATATAAATTCTCAGTCTGACATCATTTATTCTACTTAAGCTGACCCCTTTTTTAGCAATAGCGGTAGTAAAACGTCAAATAAGCATTATTTGGACGAATTTATTTCAGATGTTCTTTTATGCAGACAGACGATGAGAAATGCAAAGCGGAGAAGCTGAATCAAAGATGGTAAGCTTATTAACTATTTAATTAGAACGTCATTTAACACTTAGAGACATCAAAGATATAAGTGAGCATATAGACGCTTATTTACGATTACATGCACTTGTTCAAAGTTACAAATATAAATGACAAAAGTACTCGGAAGATTAGAAATAATTTGTTTGTTCAAAAGTAGACGTGTAACAATGCTGGTTATTACAAGTTTAAGATTAAATACATTAGGTTCAAGTCCTGTTGTAAACGTCAACAGTAGGATATAACGGGTCCATTGAACTGATGAGCTCCTAGTAGGATGAAACATAAATGTCAGTCATAATACATCTATTTTAAATACACAGTTTTGTTCATTGTTCATGCATATAATTTTCCATATTTTTTTGCCTGCAATTAGCAAATTAAAAATGGTACATTACCATCAATTGATATTAGTTTATCAAATGAACAACATCAAAATATGTTATCATCTATTCGTCAATTACAGTCGTGTTGTACAATTGGCACTATCCAAGGTATAACTAATACAACAATCATATCACAATCCCCACTAACATCATCACCAGCAGCAATGGTAGCCTCAGCCTCAGCATCAACAGTACAAGTAGCATTACCATATTTACTAACTTCTACAAGTACATCATCCTAATCTTTTCCTTTTGATTCAGCAAAGAAAAATTAACAAACTAATCCTTTTTGCTGCCTTTTTCTTTCCATCAAATTTATTTCTTACTTTCTAGAAAATATTTAGTACATTTTTCTTACCGGTCTTCTTCCTCTTGTTTTCCATCTGTTTATTTGGGTTTTTTTCAAATATTCTCTTACTTCAATTCATTTTTTTTTCTAAAAGAAGTAAAAGAAACGAAGTACTTGAAGCAGCACATTTTGAAATCTATTACTACCTTTGAGCTTTATTGAATCAGTATTTTTCCCCCGAGATTACTCACTGTCAGTTTTTCATCTTAGTTTTTATATTTTTTTCATTTAATTTTCTTACTAAAAGCCAACCTACCAACCACTCACCTTATTATTTTTCTCTATTAAAAAGTATGATTCATTTTTTGTACGGTGCTTTCGAACTTTTTTCATGATTAAAAGAAAGATGAAAAAACGCTTTTTTTACATGTCGATTAACCATTCATCTTATTGCCTTAGTCCTTTTATCTATTGTTATGTTCTTTTATTATTAGTAGTACTATAAATGTTTCCAGTTTTCTGCACCACATTCCAACTTTTCTATTGCCCATAGGGATTGCTATATAGCAAAAGATTTTTTATTGAATATTAGTTCTTGTTCCTGACGTTTTGACCTCCAGATTGTAGTAGCACATTCGGTTTTTTTGGCCTACAGAATACATGTATTCAGTCAAGGTGTAAAAAGATTAGGATGAACGTTTTTGTTTTTAAGTTGTGAATAATTTTTTGCGGTATTTTTGTCAATGAAATTAAAGTTTATTTTAGTACATATATAATCAAAGTATGTACGTATATATAATGTTTGTTTTACTATTTATATACTTATATTTTATTCCACTCCTGACTCTATTTCTGCATATAAAATACACATTTGGTTAATTTTGTTGCTGCTTTTCTTATGAAATAAATTTATTCAATTTTTGAGTATATTTCGACTTTCTCTCTTTTTGGTGTCATATTAGCAGTAGTTTCTGGGGCTGTTTTTTGTTTTGTTAATATTAGTTATTTGTGTCAATAGATTAAACTGTATGTTGTAAACAAATAAGAGAGAGAGAGAGACAGTCCAAGATTCAAGTCACTTTGAATTCTAATTGTGTTTTACTGGCTTGACAAAATACCAAATGATAATGGGAAGCCACTGTATGATGTCGAAAAATTTAAGGGTTGATTAACTTACAAAATTAAACTGGATTGTCTAAATTTAAACAAGGTCATAGACTTACTATGACACATTTGATCGACAGACGTTTAGGACTTTTTTCTCTACTATGAAGGATTTTTGGGGATTGTAGACTTTTCGTACTTTAAACAACGACTTCCTCTTAGCCAGACCACCATTGAAAACCTGTAAGTACTGGATGAACGTCTTGTCTTAGTATGGGACTCCTCGGTAGTGCGCATCCGTGACTCCGCGTAGGGGTGTCGGACCCAGAACTTGAAGTCTCGCATGCAAACACCTGACCTGTTGGCCACTAAACCGGCATTCAATGTTTCTAATATTTAACTCCAATCAGTCCATGATCTCTCACAATCTTTCATCTATTGTTCGTGGTGGGTAACTGTCTCATATGTGACATGGATTGAACTCGACTGCTCACGGCTTCTTGCTTTTCTTTTCAACGATAAATATGTATAACTAAATTACATCTATACCCAACTTCACTATTTATAGCTTCACATAAATCTATCTGAATGTCTGGCTATAGCTTATAACGTTATTTATATTTTCCTTAAGGGATATTTCTAACCAATGTGTGCAGACTTGTCTAATGTTAAAAATCAACTGAATTTTTCTATCCCACAGATCCATACTTCTATTTTTATCGATTTGAATCCATCGTGTATTTTAAAACAGATCTGTTGAAATCAATGTTATCTAAAACACTAAACCCTAACATCAGCTTATTCGCTTTTAATTTTAAAAAAAACCCAGTCAGACCCAATTATGAATCACACATACACACTAAGTAAAAATTAATATTTTCAATTTTACAGACTCTGTTTTTTTTTCTCTTTAGGTTTGTAATGCCTAGATAGTCTGATGACGAATAACTACTCAGATGTTAGATAATAAGTAGTGAAACAAATGTCGTTTCTGTTATGTGTTAGTGATTTCATTGTCATAGTACAAGTTCAGTCGACGAATTAATAACAATGATGATGATATTTATGTCGTAATTAAATAGCAGTACTTGTATATAAAAAAACGTGTACACATTGACTGACTCATTGTCTTTTAACTAGAACTCAATATTTTACACCCGTGTAGACTTCAACAGTTCAACAAGTAATAATTACTCAAACATACAGAAAGTAATCCATCAAGCCCTAACTAGATTGTATTTTTTATCCATAAGTTAAAGATTTAGATATTCCAAATATACTGTAATCCATAGAATGCGGACGAAACTATCATGTGATCAGGTCAAAAAATGTAGGAGTAATGAATTCTCCTGTATCCTAGTCACTAAATTACTGTCATGTTTTTTTGTTAGTGAAATCTTTGACTGTCTGTGACATATGTGAAACAGGATGTAAGTTGGTGGTTGGGTGTAGTCGACAGGATTCCTTGGGCGACCTAGGTTTCGTGCTATTTGGCATTCGTTAGCAGGGTGCATGTGTAGTATTGACAGAATTGATGCTCCCTGGATGATCCAATCCCTTGTCACCCAGTTTTATAATCAAACGTTACCAATGAGCTGACCCGACATGCATGATTGGTTACTATATTGAGGTCAATCTATTGTAAATACATCTCAGTCCTAGTGGTGGTCAGTCACGGCCCGAATAGCTCAATGGTAATGTATGTGACTTTGAAGCTGGGCAACACAGGACCGGAACTTCAAGGGAGCACCAGTTTCCTCAGTATAATAGGTGCACCTTTCTGACGAGTGTCAAATAACATGAAATCTAGGTCAAACAAGGTTTCTTGTCGACTACTTCCAACGACCATCTCACATGTCAACATAGTACACGCGATATCGAGTCACTTTGACTGATGGTCATCTAGCTACCTAGTCGTTAGAATTCTATCTTCACTAAGAAGGTTCTGACACTTATGACATTGATCATTATTACCCAATGACTAATCGATTGTAAATGAAATAGGTTCGAATATTATGGGTAACACTAATTCCTCTTCAAAACATTTAGAATACCTTACTTGCAAATAGTAGTTAACAGTTACTATTTCAGTCAATTTTTGATTGTACCTCATTCGATACACACAACGTAGAAATAAATCTCATTTTATTAAATGTGGTAGTAGATCAGAAAATACCGATCATCATTGTACAGTGAATTGTTTTGATCGTTAAATAACTCTAAAACTAATTCTGAACTAATTTCCGACGTATATTTCCATAATATCCAAAACTGGCATTGTACTTCCGAAAACAAAGTCTAAATCAGTGATACAAAGTTATTAAGCGAACTATAAATTATAAGGCAGTTTAGATTGATTACCGTGGGAATTATGTCTAGTGGTTCAAACGAAAACTATGTCGATCAATGCGTTCAGCATAATAGAAATAATGATTACACTATCTTCTTTGAAGCTTCGTTGAAAATGTGATACCAAGTCAGTTTTCCTAATATTCAAATTTAGAGAAAGCCTCTTGGTAAATGTCGATTCTATAGTACTTCTAACACTAAATGTATTTAGGAAGTTCTGATCTGTTAAATTTCACTATTTGATTACCTAAAAATTGTAATTTTCTCAAATTTAACTGTCTTGTCTAACTGTAAAAGGGTAATCTGAATAAAGTTTGAATAGTGTCATTATTCTTTGATTACTATCTCTCAAAGTAGATTTGATAAATAACTTCATGAAATCTAACATACATTTCATTTTATAATGGCATTGGAAAGGTATTTTTCGTCAGCTACTTACTGTAACGAATATATACATGTATTTTATTACGTAGTTTAAGCTATCAAAATATAATTTGCATATTGGACTAGATAACAAATAAGGTAAAAGATTTGGGCATTTCTCCTCAGTTCTGTGTTATTGTGGATGATAATGATGCACTTTTGTTATAAGAACATCTTTTGATTTATTAAGAAGCCAAAATAACTAAGGGGTTCTAATTGAAGGTAAAAAATATGAAAACAATCTTGACTTCCATGGTTCGTTTATGTACAGAAAACTCGGGTATTTATGGATATCCATAACATTCTGAAAGCTTCCATGAACACAATAAATTTATGTGATTATTCAATCAATGTGACACAATCCGTCGCTTCTCTAGACGTTTTTGGATAGTCATTTGATCTTTACTGAATGGAAAAATGTATTCAGGCTTTTCCCCACTTACTATCATAACGACTCCTAGAATATAATTGATTAAGCAGAGATGATTAGTGGCTAGCAGTAGAATCCAGGACTTGCATTTCATCCTATTTGGGGCTCGTCAGCTGGATGTACTCACATTCATCATTGTTATGAGTTTTCTTGTTTAATTTGTTTATTCTGATTAACGCTATTTTAGCAAGATTGATTTCTAAAGGATGAGGACGCCGACCCCATGCCCAACCCTCCTCTTTTACCCGGGTTTGGAAAAGGAAGTAGCCCTAGAAGAGCTGGAGGCAAATGCTAACTTGATATTTTGAAGGGAAACGAAAAGGAAGAAGGCCAAAGAACACACTACGTTGGGAATCGTAAGCAGATATGAGAAGGATGAATAGCAACTGGAAAGAACTGGAAAAGTTTGTCCAGGACAGAGTTAGATGGAGAATGCTGATGAGCGGCCTATGTTCCTCCTGTAGTGTTTGCTACTTATATCGACATCAGTAGTATATAATGTCAATCAGGAATAGAATGTCTGGCAGCAGAATCTCAAGAAGATCGAGGAAGAAAGAACGGGAAGAAAAAGCAATTGGTATGGGAATGCAGAAACATTGAAGTGTAAGATAAATGACTGATATTTAAAAAAGAAACAATCAAGTTTAAAACAATTGACTGACATTTTGTAAATTAAGTATTCACTATATAATTCTCAGATTTTACTAATTATTTTGCTGAGGAGTCCAACAACAAAACGAAACGACCATCCAATGATTCCAAGTTTTCCATGGTGGTCTAGCTTCAAATGAATCATGATCTCAACCATTGTAATTTTTTTCGTTAATTTTGTGTTCAAACACATTTGCTCCTCCCCACTTGCGTTCTCGTTCACTATACTCCATGAAGGGTACAAGCGCAAGTAAGTAAGTATGAAATTTTTTGCTCACTATTACTAATATTTTTAATAATGATAAAAATTTACAAATCAAATTAATATCGTCAATGCGTTACACTCACTTTAGTTTATACAACTAATTGACTAATTTTCAAGTTTCATTTGATGAAAAAGTATATTTCTCATCTGTCCCTCTCTCCATCACCCTCCCCCCCCCGCTCTATCGATTCCTCCCCTATACATCTGTTTTCTGTTTTCTTTTCAAATGTCATCATCTTATAAATTAATACAGGTGTTTATGATTATTATTTAAATTTGTGATCGGTTCAAATTTTAGCGATGTACTAATGGTTTCTTTTTATAAAAACATAACTTGATTTCATTTCAGATCTTCTTTTCTAATTAGCCCCCTTTTTGTTTAAAACAAAAAAAAACTGGGACGCATAATGATTCATGCATCATCTGGATCGTTTTTTTTTTCGAAGTGAGTTAACTAGTCAGTTTATAATACTCAATGAATAATTAATTATTATGATAAATAATGTGTTGACCTCAGTATTTTGGGGATTAGTCTAGAAAATAAATCTAGAATAATCATTTCTTATTACTAGTGATTGTCTTCAAGAGGGATTTCCTGGAGTTCTAGTGAGAAGCGGTGACCAGTGAAGTTCCACTGAGTCTGTTGTGAGATAGTAATTCACTAAAGACAATGGTGGATGGTGGTGCGATTTCGTGGGTTAGTT